TCTCCTCTGGCCAGCTGGCTCCGCACCCGCCGCTTTAGCGAGCCTACTTTTCGACCCTCCGGAGCCACAAATCATTGGAAAAACATAGTGATTCACGACTTTCCTACCTTTTTGCGCATCTGCATCTTCTTTCTTCTGACTCTTTCTCTTCTACTCTTCTCTCTTCTAACCTTTCTCTTCTCTCTGCCTCTGCCCTGCTATGCTTTTCATCTGACCATATTGTCGGAAGTTTGACTTCTAAACTTCCTTCCATCATGAAATTTCAGATTCAATGTGAAGGGGGCTCACAGGCTCACTAGTTTAAAATTGTATTTGCTTCTGGATTGGAATTCAGTTGCTGTCAGGAGACTGAAGCCTTCCCACAGGCTGGACTTGAACACCAACACAGTTTGTACTTGGATTCGACCATATTCGGTCAAAGATTCTGAATGTCCATTGTGCAAAGAGTTTCTTTTTTGGATTCACACCGCAGGATGACTTCCGTTTCATGCCATCATCAAAATCTGAAGTCGAAGCAGATGGCATAAATGCACATGAGAAAAGATGAGAAAAGCATAGCATTGGACATAATTTGCCGGGTCACTGCCAGGCGCACAGCTCCTGGTTCCCGTCGTTCAGGCACAGTCCAGCTGAGTGCATGTGCCTGAATCTTCCCTGAATCTTCGGATCGAACTCCGTTGATGATATTCGAGGTATTTCGAGGTGTTCAGTCGAATCTTTCCTTTGTGAGGTGGTTCTCAGAGCAGCAACCTGCAGAAGAGAAGGCGCGAATAGCAACTTTGCGAATTTCAACGTTGAAGGATAGGTTGGAGGCTGGAGGTTGGTACATTTGAGGGTATAAGGAATGCATGGTCCACAGTTGATGCATGGCATCGTTATGCTTGGATCGAACGTTTGATGTTTTGATGAGATCACTGTGGCCAGGAAGCATCCGTGCAAGAGGACCGAAGATTCAGTTTTCACAGTGGTCTTTGGACCCTGGGTTCTGTGAAAAACAATCACTAGAAATAATCATTAGTAGTAAACATCATTAGTAGCAATCGGTAACAATCACTTGTGAGGACTAGAGTAGCATAGAGTCTATGCCATAGAGTAGCACTCTTCTCAATTCTCAATGGAGACTCGTGGAAGGAGAGCTCGTCTGGTGAGACTCCGAAGCCAACGTGTTTTGGCAGCATGGCTGGGCGTGGACGGCCGCAGCGTCGACCATTTTACCGGCCATTTCTTGCAGAAAAAGAAGACAGGTGAAATATGAACATTTATGAACATTTGCTATATCAAAATTGTCTGAAGAAAAACTGCGAATGGTCGGAGTATCCTGAGGTCTCCAGTGCAAGCAGTACTTTCCACGTTGGGATCTGAGCTGCCAAACATAGCTACATGGCAATGCATAGCAATGCGTGGCAATGCATAGCAATGTGTGGCATGTAAAAAGAACATGTTGTAGTTGAAACTGAGTACTTGCGGGTTGACTTCAAGAAAACGAGATAGACTTCTGACAATTTGCATGGTTGAAATGCCCATCATGGTAGTGCCCCCGCCAGTGCAATGTTCATTTCCTTTCCCTTTCTTGCAAGCAGAGCCATGTTTCAGTCTTCCCTTGTGTCCGGAAAGTGCCGGAAATAGGAGATTGAAGCATTGCAGTCCTGTGGAGGTCTCCATCAAACAACCCATCAGCGTTAGCACCCCAGACGTGCCGACGACGTTCCTACAACTGCAGAGCTGATGAAACTTTCCAACAGTTATTATTCTCGTGGTTTGGAATTGGCAGATCGACAGCCATAGAGCATCCAATCGTTCAACGATATCATCGTCAAGGGATAGTCATCGAGACATATCGAGACATATCATTGCAGTGAATTCATGTTGACACATACCGGGTTCATCCGGGTTCCGGTATCATTCATTCCGCTTCATTAACTCCATTGACCTTGAAGGTGGAGAGTCTGGTTCTCGCCTGCCTCAGGCGTGGGGAATTGAATCAGTTGTTGAAGCATATGAAATCCATTGAAGCAGAAACAGCTGCTGAACTTGCAAAGCCCACAAATTTGGTGAGATTATCGGTATGGTAGTTTACCACCCGGAACTGTGCCAATGCTTTTGACCAATTCTTGCATTTTTGAATGCTTTTGAGATAGACGCCACCCACCAAGTGACCTACAGGCGGTGCTCTTTTTCTGCGTGCGCAGGATTTTAAAGGACTCAGACTATTGAAGTCCCCGTAGGAAACAGTTACCGGCTAGATCCCATTTTTGTTGTCTTGCGATGATCATCCCTGAATGATTTATCAGGGGCATTTCCACAACCCTGCAGGCACATGACAACAAAAGATGGGTACACAGGCAGAAATAATGAATCAGCGTGAGTACCCAGATAGCATTGGCAAGTTTAAGACCAAAACTATGGATGGCAAAAACAAGGCGCTTGTTTTTTCCCGATCCAACAGCTTCAGAATTTCGAAACAGCAACTACGAACCGGGTAGAACCTAGAAGTAGCACTATAGCACTGATGGTGAGCCGGGTCGCACTAGTGAGTCTGGTCGGACTCGTGTGCTTGACCTTCTTGACGTTTTATGTCACTATGGCCAACCGTGCAGGCAAAAGCACAAAGAAGCCAGCAATGACGTCAGAAACGTTTTCGGCCGAAGAATCGAAAGGAGGCAGCGTCACTATGGCCAACCATAGTGGCAACTCAAGAAAGTCCACAGGAGGTAACGTCACTGTTGGAAACGGTGCTGGCAACTCAATTACAAAGATGTCAGACGATACCGTGGCCAACGTTGCAGGCAACTCGGTTTCTGGTGATTCTATGTTTGTATGCTGGTTGTTTTGCTTTTTGATGTTTAATGTTATTCCCTTTTATTTTGAGGGGTTTCTGTGAGACATCTTGTTTTTCATGTCATGCCAATGTGTTGATGTTTGGTTTAGATAAGGCGTTGTTGCTCTTGTTTTTCATGCCAGATGTGAATCCTCTCTTTCCCCAGCAGTGCTCAAGGACTTCTATTCCCCAATCACTGAAACCTGCGTGCCCCAATCACAGAAATCCGCGTCTCCCGCTCGAAGGGTGAAACGTACGGAAAAACGATGCAACAATTTAGTTTCCTCTCGAAAATCAGACCCCTCGGGGGGTCTCCAAAAAAGCATGTTGTTAGACAGTTTTTTTTGGGGGGGTTGGGGAGTTCTAGACTGGGGGCCCTGATTTTATGGAGCGGGTAGCCCTGATGCACCCTGGAGGTTCTGATCCTATAGAGACCCCGAGAGTTCCTTTTTGGAAACATTTCGGATTTTATCAGGACATTGGGGGCTTTGATTTTATAGAGTATTTGGTGTTACTGTCAACGCCCGATTTTATAGAGAATGGGAATGCATATGGACAGAACCACTTAACTATAGTTTCAGCTTGTTAAAAAAAGGGATTTCAAAGTCTAAAGAAGACCTGACCCCAGGGATGACAGATTTCATACTTTGGAAAACGTGTAGCCCAATGTGTTGTCAAAAAATATGTGTTTTTCCCCAACAGCGCAGGCTAATGGTGTCCTCAGCCCAGAAAAGCTCCGGTGTGAACTGGTGCAGGCGCCGGGCCAGGTTCAACGAGCCAGGTCACGTTCAACAGGGTTCCGGAGGAGGTTCCGGAGAAGGTCTGGGAGGCTTCGGTCCAGAGCCAGTCAGGTTCAACAGGGTTCCGGAGAATGTTCCGGTGAAGGTCTGGGAGGCTTTGGTGCAGAGCCAGGTCAAGTTCAACAGCGCTCCGAAGAAGGCTCCGAAGAAGGTTCCGGAGAAGGTTCCGGGAGGCTTTCGTGCAGGTTCCGGAGAAGGTGGGAGGCTTTGGTGCAGAGCCAGGTCAAGTTCAACAGCGCTCCGAAGAAGGCTCCGAAGAAGGTTCCGGAGAAGGTTCCGGGAGGCTTTCGTGCAGGTTCCGGAGAAGGTGGGAGGCTTTGGTGCAGAGCCTGGTCAGGTTCAACAGGGGTCCTTCCTGCACCTCCGGAACCCTGTTGAACCTGACCTGGCTGCACCAAAGCCTCCCAGACCTTGGAACCTTCTCCGGAACCCGGTTTGGGAGGCTTTGGTGCAGATCCAGGCCAAATTCAACAGGGTTCCCGAGAAGTTTCACGCTTCAGAAAGATTTGTAAAAACAAAACGTTGCGGCTGTTGGGGATACCACCGAAGCTTATTTCATTGATTTGCACGAGGGGGTGGTCTGGAAGTTCTAGCACTTCAGGGGCATGTTACGCAGCCTTTTCCGAGCAGGAAACGCAGGCCATGATTATTGAATCATGTGCCACTTTGTTGAGATATGCATCGCACAACAGAAAGGTAGTAAAGGAAGCCAAATCCTGACCATAAGGACACACATCACGTGTCTCAAAATCATCCATCCTCCTAGCGTCCTAGCAAAATCAAACACCCGAGCCGCTTCAAACAAACCTAGCCCTAGAAAATCAGAACCCTCATCCTAGACTTTAAATGAGAGAAATGGTAACGGTCACATGGGTGGTTTTTTGGTTCATCCCTTTCCAATCCACATATGAGCCATTTTCAACCAACATTATTCGGACAAGACGCTGCCGCAGCTTGTTCGACACCAGCACGGATAGCAGCTGCTGGGCTATGTCTTGTAGAAGAAAACAAGATGCAGCCCACGAACCCGAATGCAGTCACGTAGAACGCTTTTGTGAAACAAGTTATCTGAACAGTCTTGTACATTTTCCCCAAGTTACTGCACCAGTGCACTGTAGACTGTGGAATGCGGAACGGGGTGGAGTGCAAAGTGTGGAGTAAAATGTGTGAAGTGTAAAGTGTGGAAGTGTAAAGTGTAAAGTGTGGAGTGTAGAGTGTGGAGTGTAGAGTGTGGAGTATAAAGTGTGGAGTGTAAAGTGTGGAGTGCAAAGCGTAAAGTGTGGAGTGTAAAGTGTAAAGTCTGGAGTGTAAAGTGCAAAGTTTGGAGTGTACAGCGTAGAGTGTGGAGTATAAAGTGTGGAGTGTAAAGTGTGAAGTGTGTAGTGTAAAATGTAAACTTTAAAGTGTAAATTGTGGAGTGTAGAGTGTCGAGTGCGGAGTGTAAAGTGTAGAGTGTGGAGTGTGAAGTGTAAAGTGTGGAGTGTAGAGTGTGGAGTGTAGAGTGTGGAGTATAAAGTGTGGAGTGTAAAGTGTAAAGTGTGGAGTGTAAAGTGTAAAGTGTGGAGTGTCAAGTATAACGTGTAAAGTGTGGAGTGTAAAAGTTTAAAGTGCGGATGGTAAAGTGTAAAGTGTGGAGTGTAAAGTGTAAAGTGTGGAGTGTCAAGTATAAAGTGTAAAGTGTGGAGTGTAGAGTGTGGAGCCCTGACAATGCGGTTCCCAAAAAACATGCAACACGACACGTGTAAAGTGCTGCGCTTGCCATGCAAAATGACGATGGAGGTCTCCAAAGTGCCGCGCCTGCCACCAAAATGCCAACTCATTGTCTGAAAATGTCGCAAAAGTATTGCGCCTGCCACACAAAATGCCTTTCGACACGCTTGCAGACACAGGAGAATGTCACAAAGCGCCACGCCTGCCACGCAAAACGACATGACAACTTGCTTTGAAACTTTCGAAAATGAAAGGTTTTGCAGCTTCCCCCATGGACGCGAGGCCGCATGAAAACCAGAGACCCAGACATGTTGGAGCATCAAAGCCAGCATTTCGTGCGAGGCTTCCTCAAATTTTCACACTGTGTAGCTTCAAAATCGACGTTTTCCCACGAAACGGTTGCGAACGGTTGCGAACGGTTGCGCAACGTCGAGCGAACACACCCTCAATCCCCAGACCCCCAGAGTGAAACGGGAACCCTTGCTACGCATTCGGGAAAAATGTTACTTTAGCTTTAGCGGAAAGTTTGGGAAGATGTGTTCCGAGGAGCCGTGCGGCAATCTAGTTTCCACAGCTTCATTGGATTTTAGTGATATTTGGGACGACGTAGACTCCCCAACCTCCGGAAAATTTTGGCACTATAAAATCACACCCCCCAACCTCAGCTAGAGCCTTGGGAAATAGAGCAGGGATAGAAAATACACCACCAAATATGAGATACTTAGGGGGCATGATTTTATAGAAAACCAACTTTGGGGAAAACCATGTGCCCAACAGTACCCGGGCCCCCTAATTCTACGGTAAATGCAGGTTCATTTTTGGCATGGGGGGTCTTGATTATATAGAGGCCCAATTTCAAAATATGTTAGGGGGTCGCATTTTAGGACTCTAAAATCAGACCCCCCGACCTACCAGTGGAATTTCAAGGGGTGTTTGATTCGTGATACAACAGGGTTACAAAAAATAAATGGCAATATCGAGGTTGAACATTGAAACACAGAAAACACACACATCCTGATTATGATTTTGCGTCCATTGACTTGCTCCTCGAGCAACATCACTCTTTACCACAACACGGAGAGTATGGAGAAATGAACCGCGACCTTGTTACAAAAGAGACAAACATCTTTGATCAAAAATGATATAATCACAAAATACTGAAACATTATACACAGAAGAGGAGGAAGACGGTATTAGAACACACCAATTGCACACCATTGAGAGTGTTCAAACATTTCATTGACCAACGAAGTGTTGATGGAGACACAACCATTAGACTTTTCTACAGCATCAAGACCACCGTTTCCAAATACTGGGATGGAACCAGGAGAAGACGATGAACAGTGGAGACACCCAACCTGATGATTAATTTGTGAAATAAATTAGGAAGCAAGCACCAACCGAAACTGACACAAAAGACACAGCAGCAACAACAAATGCATTTAATCCAGACATCAACAATGAAAATCAGAGATGTCTCAAAATCCCCCAGAGGAAAAACATGGGAACAACGCCTTGACACGGGCGTCGGTTTTTCATCATTGGGGTTGTGGGTTTGGAGTCAGGAATGGGCATAATACCTTGTATTTTACAGTGATTTATGTTTCTAACAATAATTATTGTTGTCATCGATCAGGTCAATATTGAGAAAACATTTTGCAACATATCAGCATTTGCCTTCGCGCGCAAAGCTCTCATATTTTCTTCCGCCCTGCTTTGTCTTTCTTCAACCGCTGCTCTTCGTTGTGAAGAGTTGGCCCAACTTCTGCACATATTTAACCGCCTTCGGCGTGTTCAGCCACCATGGAAAGAGCCATCCTGTAAGCCGCAAGCAGCCCTTGCACAGGCCCAGCAAGAACATGGCTTTTGTGTAAAACATGGTGTTTGTGTATAACACGGTTTTTGTGTAAAACGGCTCTTTGTGTAAAAGACGGTTTTGGCGCAAAAAACATTGGTTTTGTTCAAACCACCCTTAAGTTTCAACCAAAGCATATGTGTAAACCAGGGCTTTGGAAAAGGCCATATTGAGAAAGGCTTGAAAAGGCCATATTTAGAAAGGTTAGGCGTGTAAAAGGTGTTCGGCCAGTGGATCAAGTATTGGATATAAGAAGCGACGGGGCAAACTGATGGCAAACACAACCAAAAAACGGAAACAACCATCAAAATGACAGCAAGATGTGCAAAACCAAGCCGGTGTTGAGCGAGGCGTGGGCAGAGTCGAGCCCACCACAACGTAAGGTAAGATGAAGGCGAAACGAAGAAGAGCTAGGGGCGGGGGGGGAGGAAGGGGCGGAGGGTATGTTCGACACTTGGAGGCTATATCGCAAGCCAAGACGCCATGCACCAATACTAATCAAAAGGCAGCAAAACAAAGCATAGGCACAAAATGGACGTAGCTGATTCCGCTTCCATCGGGGCGTACTGGGCTTTCCAGAAAGAAATGCAATATCAAACAACAGTCACGGAACCAATGAGAGCCAATAAGGTCGATGAGGCCGATGAGGCCGATGAGACCGCTGGAGCCGATGAGGCCGATGGAGCTGATAAAGCCGGGAGCTGATGAGGCCGATGGAGCCGATGAGGCCGATGGAGCCAATGAGGCCGATGAGGTGGCTGGAGCCGCTGGGGACGATGAGCCCGATGGAGCCGCTGGAGCCGATGAAGCCGATGGAGCCACTGGAGCCGATGAGGCCGATGGAGCCGCTGGAGCCGATGAGCCCGATGGAGCCGCTGGAGCCGATGAGCCCTTGAGCCACTGGAGGCGCTGGAGCATGAAGCCGAGGCCGATGGAGCTGACTAAACACATAGACAATTCCAAGGAAATAGATATGTGTATCGTATCCATAGGTATAGATGTACCGCTATTTTAGTGTTTCCGTTCTGGGGCTGAGCTAGAGGTGCATATGGGCAACAGAAGCCGGGTGAATAGTATGAACCATACGCGCAACAATGCAAAGCCACGCAGATTATCCAATGTAAAGGGAGTTGTAGGTTACGGCTCCATGCATCGATGCACCTTAACCCATTCCACCCTGCTTACATGCACAAGAAGTGGTGCCGCAAAATAGACGCCAAGCGTCAATGGCACGGGGGGAGGGGGGGAGGAAGGAGGGGAGGGGGGAGCAAGTTAGACGAGGCAAAAATCCGCGCCAGGGGGAAGTCTAGACAAAGAGAAAGACAAAACAGACAGTACAACTACGAACAAGCAAGATCCACAAGACACGCCGGCAGGCCGGCGGATTGATGTTGATGTTGGAAAGGGAACTGCCATTTTGGCCAACAGTGTTAAAGTCATCAGCAATGTTATTACCCCTCCCCCACCCCCCTGTTGAGCATAAGCGAGCGAGCGTGTGCAACATGTCAACATGTCAACAACAACAACAACAACAACAACAACAACAACAACAACAACAACGACAACGACAACGACAACAACAACAACAGCAACAACAACAACAACAAGAACAAGAACAAAAACAAGAAGTTACATGGACCCTTGTGGCCAACAGTCTTAAAGTCGTCAGGAACGTTGTTAGTTACACGCCCCCACCCAACCCCCCTTGAGCAGAAGCAAGCATGTGCGACATACATGCCAACGACGGCAGCGAGTGAAGTGCTCAAAAAGGAGCACGCAACAGTTACATGGAAAAAAACAGCCTGCCTCGAGGCCCCAAAAACATCAATGGTAAGGAACACACATTGAACAATCCCGAAAACCATTGGAAACATACAGTCAGATGCTGTCCCAGGCATCCCCCTTTCACCATTGTTTTAGGTGCCGAGCATGGCAAGACGTTGCGAGCGGCTGTGATGATTATCGGACATGCAAGATCTCTCGTTTGGGACATGGTATGTCACAACATTAAGATCCGGCTTGTAGATGCATTGGCAAAACCACCGACAGATTCAGAGAGTGCCGAATCGGTGCAGTGGCAAGTGGACGTTTTTCTCTTTCTGTCGCTGAATGATAAGGACTCTCGAAGAACCCCGGGTAGGTTGAAACAAGTGTATCAAGGTCCCGGCATATTGCAACCATGTATCAAAAAGCTGAAACCTGTCCATGTGGAGTTCATGCCACCGATCTACAAACCTCCAGAGAAGCATGGGTGTAGCAAGGGACATGAACCGGAATACATCGCTCAGAGCAAAGGCAAGTTTTTGCAGGAGAAGGGTTTCCCTCAACGTCTTTTCTCGCAATGCAAGCGTGTGGACATTGCACAAGATTACATTTTGAGCACTTTTGATCCCCGTTTCCGTCGAGACTATGCAGCTTTTGTGAAAACAAGACCAGACGCTGTCTATCTGACAGAGCTTCCCCCTTTGTGGAGCTTCAACCTCTCCAGAATTACAGAGGCAGCCGGAGCATACCCTGATGCCTTTGTGCTCGTCCCAAGGGGTTGCCATGTATGGCCTCCGGAATGTCTTTCATGTAAGAACACTGCTGCCCCGCGCTGCAACCGCACCATGGACCGTGATTATGATCCACGAGTGCATCCGGTTCTGGCACGCGCCGTCGAAAGAAACTATTTCAATCGGATCCATCCGAAACTTCCTGAAGAGCAAACGTCCAGAATAGATCGGTTTGGCTTTCTAAATTTGGAGTGTCGACGGTGGAAAGGTCTGATGCTGAAGCACACACCAGAGCAGTGGCCGGGCATCCAACTGTGCGAAGAAGAAGCCAAGAAATTTCTTCAGGCAAATCCTCCAGAAGATCCGGAAAGTTGATATCTTTTGCTTATGATCCTTAAGGCATGGCATAGCTTGAAGATGCTTGAAGTGCATTCATCAGCTGATTAGGATCAGCTGATTAGCACTCCCTGCGTTTTGATTCCAGTCACAAAGTGATTAGGGCCTGCGGGTAGGATCCAGTTCGCTTGGTTGGAAACAAAAATGTGAAACCCGTCGACTTGATTCGGTGGGGTTGCAGGTATCTTGTAGATCTGGTAGCCAAAGGCCCCTCAGACTTAGTCTGAAACCTGATAAATTAGTCGGTTGCCTACTCTCTGGAATCAAGCGCGGTGCAAGACACTCATTGAACATGAACGAATGTTGAATAATTCATAGTTTCGAGATACTTTGAAGATCTTTTAAGCCATTTGTGCATTTGCGTGCCATGTTTCAATGACTTCCGACAAGTGGGACCAGAATTCGACCGATCAGATGTCCCAAATGGGAAACGGATGTCAAACGGTTCGGACTGCTATTTTGAAAAACATGTGTCTTTTTCTGGAAAACTTCAGCAAACGTCTGAAGATCACAGGGTGTTCAGTGCCTCGATGTAGGCACTCTTTGGACCCGCCAGGCACTGACCCGCCAGCTGCAGCGCAACCGTCACCTCATCCAGTGGAGGAGAGAACTGGAGAAGTTGGACAAACTGTAAATGCAGAGCCTGAAATAAAAAAAGGGAAAGGTGATGTAAGTTATGAGTTATGACAGGTTAGGAAATGTCATCCAAAAATCTGAAAAAGTAAATTCATTCTGACTTTGATCCAGATTCTAAACCCTTTTCATGGTTGCTTGACTTGACGCAAAGAGATGGAAGCTGGTCTGGCTCAAGCTGCATTTGATTCCGACAGCTCTTGCTTCGTGCACTTTGTTCCTTTCACGATGCCTGCAGCAATTCATTCTTCCAGGGCTCTGCATGATCAAGACCAGGCAGAAGCCAGCCACAAAAGCAGGCAAGAAGTTGATGTTCGGCAAGGAAGTCATGGTGAAGGCCCAGCCTGCAAAGACTGTCGTGAAGGCATCTCCTGTTGCGGCTCTCAAGAGTCAGATCTGAGGCCATGTTAGGCCATGGAGCTGTAGCCAAAAGAGATAGTGGCACCTTGGGGGGTAGGAGCACGACTAGATTTTGGAGGCACAGCACGCTGTACACTATACACATTATACCGCTTCAGAGAGTTGCGATTCCAGAGTGAAAAGAATGACCGTTGGACTGTCTACCACATGCATCCATTTGCGAGTTTCTGAAACGAAAGTTGGGTCTGCTCATTGACAATTGATAATATGAAGTGCAGCAAAATTGCTCCACAGCGGAGCGGTTTTATATTGAATCTGCAGTTATGCTATTAACATGCGACCCAAAAGCCAAGCCTTTTCTAGCCTTTCCTGGACGAAAACCTCGCTCTACCACTCTGGCATTGTGTAGCGTCTCAACGGAGACTTCACTCGTGGTAGGGACAGCAGCCAAGACCGGTCGCCTTCACCAAGGCCCAAACTCAGGTTGAACTGATGATTCTTTGGCATTGTTTGGACATCTGACAATGTCGAACTTCTGTGGTCTTTGTTTCAGAACATGTCCTTTCTACTTTCTACATCTTTCTACTGTGACGAGTTTGAGATCACTGCTTTTCTTTTGCATTCGAATTCTTTGGGATTTTGCTCTTTTCGCGATTTGCGATTTCTCGCGATTTCTCGCGATCTTTGTGTCGACATCGCCGACATCGCTGTCGTTTCGTGATAGGTGGTCGCACCCATCGACGAAGTTCCACTGCTGCGCCTGGCGCTGGAGCTGCTGGAGGCGTTCCAAGCATGTCATGCTGCGCATGCGCTGCGCATGCTGCAAATCTTCGAATGCCTGTCACGAAATTGTCATATCGTGTGTTCACATCTGTACGTTGCATGCTGCATGCTGCATTTGCTTTTTCATTTGGAGTGTCAATGCCACTGAAGCGAAAACATCTGCAAAACTTTTTGTTGCCTTTGCTGCTTGAATCTGACCCTCTGCAAAGGTAAACGTGGAGATCCAGACGCAAAAACACGTCAAGACCATTGGTGACTTGTTTGATTTAGTTATGATTTTGAAGCTCGATGTTGAACAAGCACTGGCTCTGTTTTGCTTTGACTTTTGACTACTTTTGACTGCAAGATCCCTGAGGCTTCGCAAAGTCGCTGCGACTGAAATTGCTGGCTGGCGACGAGCCCATGAAATCATAAAATAGGCTGAGACCTACATCGCAGAATCATAGGAATCATTGGACAAACCGGTGAGATATTTGGGACCAGCGTCTCGCAGATGGCAGATCTGCAGCTCTTGGTGCGGTGTTCAAGGCACAAGACGCCAGCCGCGTGGTTGCACACTGTGGCACACCGATGGGATGACACAGAGATGACACAGAGATGAGACAACATCAGAACAACGTCGGAACAACATGGAAACACTGGGTTTGCAAGGAGTCTTCCACCAAATCTGCAGTTCCCACGTTGTTTTCATAGTTTCAAATTGCGGCTCTATATGTATCTAATTAATTCTAACATTGATATTATATAATATTCATTGATATTATATGTATGTATATAGCCGTATATATACATATATATGTATTATGTATCTATATGACTTCTATATGTTTCTATAAAATTATACAGTCTGTATAGTCTGTATAGTCTGTATGTTCTATGATGTTTCTCTGCTCCGATTATGGCCGAGCTGAGAAGCGAATGCCGCGGTAGACACGTATCTCCTGCATTCGGGTCACTTAGAGAAGGTGCCGTGGATCGACATGAACTAAATTTAGTGCCGCCTCGTGCCAAGCAACAAAAGCAACAAAGCAACAAAGACCATTTAGAGATATTTAAAAGACTTGTGAGTGGTAGGACTTCACATTATTTTGGAAATTTAGATGGTGAATGCCAAAATTCGCATTCCGTTCGGAATTGTTCTTAACTGGAGAGGCACAGACGGCCCGAGAATCTTCGAGACACCAGCGGTGATCAGCGTTATTTTGTTTTTTTTGTCCAATTGAATGAATCCAGAATGCCCCTCAGCACCTGCAAAGATGAAATTTATGGATTTGATGCCCTTATAGACTGGTTGATCTGGTTGTTGGTCAAATCTCAGATGGAAACCTCTGCATTTCCAGGTGATGTCCGTGGAGTACATCTCCCGGGACTCGCCTCTTAGCTGAATCTGAAGACGGACCCAGGGACTTTTTCGAGTATGAACATGTTTTTATGTTCTTTTAAATGATTATGTCAATGTAATATGTATGTATAAATACATCAATATATACATACATTATATATATTTATATATACAACATTGATAATGGATTACCAGTAGTACCGCACAAGGCGGTGGCAGAAGTTTCAAAAATAGGAAACCTATAGGAGAGGTTGGTTGTTGTGATTCAGGGATGGCAGAGCGAAGCCACTGATGGACCGAAAGGTGCTTGAGGTCTCCTCTCTTTCTCTCTCTTTCTCGGACTATCTACCTACCTTACCTACCTATCTATCTTCTATGTATCTATCTATCGATCGATCGATCTATCTATCTCTCTCTCTCTCCCTCTTTCATCTAATCTCTCTCTCTCTCTCTCTTTCATATAATTACCAATCTATCTATCTATCTATCTATCGTTCTTTCTTTCTTTCTTTCTTTCTTTCTTTCTTTCTTTCTTTCTTTCTTTCTTTCTCTCTCTTTCATCTGTCTATCTGTCTAGCTGTCTATCTGTCTATCTGTGGTGCAGTGTCATTCAGTGTAGTGTAGTGGAGTGTAGTGGAATGTAGTGTAATGTAGTTTAGTGTAGTGTAATTTAGCGTAGTGGAGCGTAGTGGAGTGTAGTTGTGTAGTCGTAGTTGTAGTTGTAATGTAGTGGAGTGTAGTGTAATGTAGTGAAGTGTAGTGGAAGGTAGTGTAATGTAGTGGAGTGGAGTGTAGTGTAATGTAGCGTAGTGTAATTTAGTGTCGCGGAGTGTAGTGGAGTGTAGTTGTGTAGTTGTACTTGTAGTTGTAGTGTAGTGGAGTGTAGCGTAGTGTAATGTAGTGTAGTTTAGTGTAGTGGAGTGTAATGTAGTGTAGTGTAGTGTAGCGGAGTGTAGCGTAGTGTAATGTAGTGTAGTTTAGTGTAGTGGAGTGTAATGGAGTGTAGTGGAGTGTAGTTGTGTAGTTGTAGTTATAGTGTTGTGGAGTGTAGTGTAATGTACTGTAGTGTAGTGTAGTGGAATGTAGTCTAATATAATGTAATTTAGTGAAGCGAAACGAAGCGAAGCGATATCCGAACCTCCAAAAGTGGCGTGAACATGTGGTGTTTTATATATTTTGATTTGGAAATTTGCTTCGCGCCACAATGGCGTGCACTTTTTTAATATCGGAACTTCCAAAAGTGACGCGAACATGTGGTGCTTTGTCTATTTTGATTTGGAAATGTACTTCGCGCCACAACGGCGTCCATTTTTTCGACATCTTAACTTCCAAAAGAGGTCGGGAACTGGTGTGCTTTGTAGATTTTTACTTCGAAATGTGTTTTGCGCTACAACGGCGTGCACTTTTTCGACATTTGAATTTCCAAAAGTGGTCCAACAATGGTGTATTTGGTATATTTTGACTTGGAAATGTACTTCGCGCTACACCGGCGTGCACTTTTTCGACATCTTAATTTTTAAAAGTGGTCCGAACCTGGTGTGTTTTGTACATTTTGCCTTTTAAATGTGTTTCGCGCTATAATGGCGTGTATTTTTTCGACATTTTAACTTCCAAAAGTGGTCCGAAAATGATGTATTTCGACTTGGAAATGTACTTCGTATTACAATAATGTATAATTTTTCATTTCTCATCCGCCATTTTAGCAAGCTTACTTTTCCACCCTCCGGAGCCTCAAATTATTGGAAAAAACACAATATTTCGTATTTTTCCTGCCCTTTCGCGCATCTGCATCTTCTTTCTTCTTACTTTTTCTTTTCTATTCTTTTTTTTTCTGATTTTTCTCTTCTTTTTGCCTCTTCCCTGCTCTACTTTTTATTTGTTTATATTGTCGGAAATTTGACTTCTAAATTTCCTTCGATTATTGTAATTTAATTTTTCGATTAAATATGTTTTTAATTTTTTTATTATTAATAAAATTCTTTAGATTTATTATTTTTTTCGTTGAAATTAAAAAAAAAATTGTATA